GTGTGTATTATATATTGTAATTGGATTTTGAAATTGTAAAATTTATTTAGATGTTTTTACTTTTGCTAATTAAAATCAATTAAAAAAAAAAATTGAGTCTTACATACATATAAAACTCAATTTTTTTAATTGATGTTAATTACATGGTAAAAGTAAAAGCATCTGAATAAATTTTACAATTAAGTAGTTGAATATATATGTATATATCTATGTAACATTAAAAACTGACTTTTTTAAAAAGTCTTGTAAAAATAGAATTATTTTATTTTTTTATTTTATTTTTGTGATGAAAAACTAAACAATTATATATCTTATATATTATATATTTTATATATTTTAAATACTACATTATATTTATTTTATTACATAGTTTTAATCTCAAATTTTTTTTTAAATTATTTATTTAGAATACAATATATTTTTTTTGGCATCATATGTATTCTATTGTAATCTCCACTAATTTCTCTATTTCTAATTTTATTTATTTTAATTATAATAATTATAACAAATTAAGTAAATATGTAATTATTAAAATATAAATATTAAAAGCTTGATTTTTCTTATAAATGTTTATAATATGCAGGGATAAATTTAGTGACGATGATGATACACCAAATTTTCAATTTCTCAGAAACAAGAATAAGAAAAAAATTAAAAAATATAAAATATTAGATTCTTCTGATGAAGATAATGATTCTGAAAGGACAAATCATGAAGATGATAAAGAAGAATATCATTCAATTAATGATTTCAGTAATATTTATAATTCTGATTCAGGTAAGGATTATCTTACAAGTAAAGATTATAATATTATATATAAAACTGTAATTTTGTATATTGTATATTGTATAAATATCTGCTGCTAAAATGATATTCTACAATTTTTACTTGAGAGAATGTAATTATGTTATTTTTATATAGATTCCCCAACAGAAAGCAGAGGTAAAAAAAGGAAAGATGTTACTCACGATAATACCAAGGAAGATATAAAAGAATTGAAACTTAATTCTTCTAATGATTCTCTTACCGATGAAAGTTTTGTTAACAATAATAATTTACATGAACAAAGTGATATTGACCAAAATGATAAAATAACAAATATGGAAAATGAAACATCTCATGATATACCTGTAACTATCGAGCTTGATTCAGGTATTTCCATTTTTTTATGTCTGCTGTGTGTGTGTGTGTGTGTGTGTGTGTGTGTATGTGTGTGTGTGTGTGTGTGTGT